AAAAAAAACAAAAAACAAAAAAAAAAAAATTCAAATTGTATTAGAGATATATTTAGCCCATGTTTGACCCCCATTAAATTACATTCCATTACATTTTATTTTTCTCTCTTCTATTTTCAACCACACAATTTTTCATAAAATAATATTACACGTAAATCGAAAAATTTTCCTTCTTTTTCAACCACTCATTTTTTCAACAAAACACTATTCCTCCCATTTTCATTACCAAAAATGGGGGCCAAACAGGAGCTTAGAGTGGGATGAATATATAAAATTTGTGTGGATTTATAGTGTTTAAGGAATGAATTTAATAAAGACAATATTGTAATGTGGCGTAGATGAAAATAGTAAATTTTTAAATTTTTAATATTTTAATAGTAATGGATTTAGCGTGTGATGAATATGTAAAATCGTGAAAATAACGCCAATCTTGCCGAAATCTTGTATGACATTTGTAAAATGTGCTTGTATGCTTTTAATGAAATTCTAAATTGTAAAACTTACTTGAAATCATCACAACAAGGTTGAATCACTTGTCTTTTGTTTGCTTGTCTTCTACCGCACTCATGTATTTTTCTCTCTATTTAGAAACCCGAATTTTGCATGTATCCTTTTGGTTTTCTTTTCATAATTGTGTAGTAATGGAAGTTGCATGGGAGTTATTTGTGGAGGGAAGGTTAATTTTCAAATTCATAACTCAACTTCTCACTCCATTTGTTCTCATGCAATTCAGGTCGAGTCAGCTCACATGTGCGATCAATTTTCTTTCAATATCTCTCACTTGCACATGATGGGCTTAACTTGATTCTAATATAATATCGATTATATTTATTCCAATATTTTCAAGTTCATACAGCTAAATGGATCGTACGATCAACAAGTTAATTTAAGAGCAGGCAACATTGTACACCTGTTAGGGATATATAGCAGCTCTATAAGAAGAAATATATTTTCTCGTTACACCTCAGACATATTTTGTAACACTAGTTCGAGTATTTCTAACCCCTTAATAAACTAAAGAACATACTCAACTTTTTCATATATTTTGTATTCACAATTGTGTCGTAAAATTCAAATAGTTAACACAATTGTCTGACCGGTGAATATAAGCTGAGGTGTTTGATAAAATAGTTTTCGTTTCCTACTTGAATCCCTTAATTTCAAAATTAGCTACTTTTCTAGACATTTCCCGTCAAATTGAATCAAACATCGTTATTGGTAACGT